ATGTAGTACCACATCAAACTCCTTACAGAAAGCTAAGTATATTACAACACTATTACTTTTACCAACCAAATTTGTAATCTCATCAAAAAAATATCAAGTTAGTTCGACAGGATTTATTTTCCATAAACCGATGTTGATTGACATTAATTAGATTACCCTTCTCTAATACTTATTAAAGAATAATATTTAATAATACTTATTAAAGAAGTCTCACATCAGCAGCTCTATTATCTTCCCTGGGATCAATGTGAGATTGGCCTATGACTACCTGGTTCATTCAGGTACAGAAAAGAGTTTTGTCCATGTAGCTTTGGGAACCTGCCCTTTGTTGTGAGCTATAACTTTTGAAAATATTTTAAAGAGAACCTAAGGAATGGAAGGTCTTAGCTAGAAAGAGAGGCTGAAGAGCTAAGACCTATACATCTTACAGAGGTAAATGCTGAGAGAAAACTTACTGAAATGTGTATGCACTTAATGAGGATCACAAAGACTGGGGGAAGATCTACTTCAGCACAAGGACACTCCTGGAAATTTAGGATAAATATCTGGGGAGCTTCTCCTTCTACCCCAAAAGGGTGATCAATATTTGTATTCTTAATCCAGGAAATGTGGGCAAAATCCACCTACGAGGATTCAAATGGTGGGGAATTAAGAGTTACTTGGGGTCCAACATATCTGGGGTACAAGTGACATCAGATGCTTGACTGGGTTATTTGCGTTCACATGCATGTGACCACATTGATCAGCAGATTGTGCGCTAAAATGGAATTCTCTTGGTATTTGAGAAACCTTGGGTATGGTGTCATCTTCCTCAGGAGAAGTGACAAGGACCATGGACCATATCCTAATATCAAACAAATGACTACTAAGGGGAATTTCATACTTACTGTATCTCTATGGAGACCTTCCCCCTTTGAGGTTTATTTAGGGGACTTTCCTGCTACGTTTACATTCAGAATTTTGCACAGGTGACATGCAGTAGTTCAAGAACTGAATTTCAGGATCAAGCTTGTTGAATTGCTAAAGGCACTGAGAGGGTAGAAAGTGTGGGAGTAGGTCTTGCTACAATCAGTTTAAAGCTCAGGGCTGGGTTTCAAAGTATCATTCACGAGACCAATTAACTTAGCTATTCAACTTGCCACAAATCAAAGGGAAGTAATGCCGCAAAACAACAAGAAAAGAGAGGCTGGAACAAAAGTTCAAAAGGGGAATTAAAACACAATCTCTTACAACTGCTCCAACAATGCATCTTCAAATCCTAACTTTATTAGGGCTTTCGGGTAAAGGGTCTGTGCTTTTCTCTAAGTGCTGGAAGATCACTACAGAACTAAGCAATGAGCCACTAAAGGCAATTTCATATAAACATTTCACCCAATAAACACAATTTATCAGCTGCATCCACGGCTCCATGCCAACAGCTACGTATATCCTTACTGTAACTTACCTATGCCTGGGTCCTGCAACTCAGACACATAGCAAGAAAAACTCTGTAAGTGAAGGGAGAGCTCCACTACAAGTCTACTCTTACTCACCTCACTATTACGATGCAATACAGAAGAGGATGGCACTGTCTTCCTTTTCCTGTATCAATATGCTGAATTCAAGCTATGCTGCATGTTCTGTATTCTCAGCACCCAATGCACAACAGCAGAAAAATCTGGGAGCCAAATCCAGAGCTTGCAAAAGTGAGTGTAACATCACTGAATTCACTGAAACTGCACTTGCTCACAATATTGAAAAGGAAGACAGATTTTTATTATAAATCCTCTTTTTATACAAATTTTCAACTTTCAAAGAGAATATTTTGGCTTGAAAACTGCCATTTTCATAGAATAGAATTGTTTCTGAAGAAACTGATCAAACTTTACAAAACTCCATTTTCAAGATTTCATAGCCAGAGCCTTACTTAAACTGTATTACACACTAGTATATATGCATGTCAAATCTCATAAATAAGTGACTAGCTTTCATCATCAATACTTGGTTTTCCATCATGAATTCCAGTGTGTAAAACTTTCTATGGCAAAACCACAACAAGACTTGTAAGCTGACAACATGTAGTGGAGACCTGGCCTGACATGAGCAATAAACATCTGGAGGGAGGCCTCATTTCTTGGACAACAGTATTAGGGAGGTAAACAGATCATTAGGTTGAAAAAGACAGAAAGTTTGAGCCAGCTAAGATAAGATGGAGAACACCCAGGGACCATTTATTAACAATGGACAAAATAATTCGGAATGTAGAGATGAGGTAAAGACTAGGTCAAGTGAGGACAATGCATGGCCAGAGCATGTTGCACTGGGACTGGTTCCTGCAAAGTAACCAAGCCAATTCAAAAACATGTGATGCAATGTAAAGTGTAAATGTATATAAAGGAAGAGTTTTTCTGTGCAACTCTGGATGTATGGTACATACTATACCCACCCCTACACTTGAGTCTGATCAGCATAGCTTTGCTGTATGACAAATAAAGGAACCTGAGTGACTAAATCTGGAGTCGAACTGAGTTTTTGGATCCCAGAAAACTGGATAAAGTGTTCTCCTAGAAGTAAGCAAGGTATTCTGGATAAGCTGAGTGGAAAAGGTCTCAGAGGGAATCCAACACTACAGCAGAAAAACTATTAAACTTTTAGAACATCAAGACTCCAGTCTTTTAAGCATTCCAAGTGAGCAATTTGTGCAGGAAAAGTTTCTATTGCGGTGAATTTGTGCAAAGTTTGGTCCCTGCAAAACTTGCACATAAAATTTTAATCAGCTGTCATGTCACAGTTCTCTCCTCCTTCATGCTCCCACACTTCTCCCTAGATAAAACCATATCTGGAATCTCGGGAACTCAGATGTTCTGTAGACCCAACCTATGCTGAGTGAGCTATGCTACCTTGAGCGTTAATCCATGCTGAGAGGCTGGGAAGGAGCTATAAGGAACATAGATTTACTTTTGAACTGAGGCAATTGGAAGCATCAGGCATCCTTCAGCTCATGAAGTCATTATACAATAAGTAATTCAGTACACACAGTTTTACACACCTATAACTTATTGTGAAGAAAATACTTCAGTGTATAATTTATGCAAATAATACTTTGCATCACTAAGAATTTTTGATAAAGGACACCCAGTCTTTCCTCCCATCTGTCAATGACTTTCCCAAACACACTGAAGTCTAGGACCCTAGCAGTGGAACTTTTACCAGGAACTGGAGAAGTGCTCCAAAGTGCCATGCCTCTCCCTGTGCATCTTAGAAGAACCACATAGATTAGGTCCACTGGGAAAAGTGTGGATTAGAGACTCCCGTTTTAGCTTTGTCCGCGAAAAGGAGTGGCAGGTTTACATGCTGAAATCCAAAGTCCACTGGAGGCAATACAGAGTCTAAATCCAAAAGGACGCTATGGCTTGTAAACCTATGAGGAATCCATGACCTTCTCAGCACAAAGTTTGTGCACATTAAACTTTATGAGCTGAAGTCTATTTTCAGTGCATAATGACCTATGGCACAACACTTTATACACTGAAGTCAAGTTTTCTGTACATAAAACTTTATAGCCTGTCTATTTATACTCCTAGCATACTTTGCAATTCATTTTTTTTTTAAAGGATATTCCCAGTGAAAAAGCATTAATTTATAAAGTTACTAAGTCATGACCATCACAAAAGTACATATCAAGATCATTTCAGTTAACAACATGTAGATGTCAAGATACAGAAATGATCATTGAAGGTAACTTAAAGAGAGATTATACATTCTCAAGAAAATTTACACTTGTGAACATTCACATTAGACATTTCCATGACCTTAACTCTGGCCCTTTTCGTCTGTGGTCTTTTTTTGGTGAATACATTTGAATAATTTGCCTAACAAATATGCTATCATTTAGGATGCCAGTTTTATAAAGATGAATAAAGCATAGTATGTTAAGATAGTATATACTGGGAGTAAAATTTAGCCCTTTATATGGAAAAAGATGCAGCCATATATATAAACAGGGACATCTCTCATGCCAGGGCATATTCCCTGTCCAACTAGAAGTTCCCAGAAGTTAACAAACTCAAAGGAAACACTCTTCATAGAGGAGGTGCTTCTAGTGGAATTACCAGTCAAACCCTCCCAGCCAAAACATGAATGAGTGTTTCCTATCTGAGCATAACAGCTTCAGTCCATAAATTATAGCATTATATGCTCAGAGCTGGGTCCATCTGCCATACAGAACCCCTTTGTTGACCCATGACTTGAGCTCAGGTGATCATGTAAATAATCGCTTATATTTTAGAAAAAGTTAAGATGCTTGTTTAATTAGTGCAAATTAAACTAAAGCTACAGTGCAAGTTGGAATAATAAAAGAAACAAAGATTATTTTTAAATGGGCTTTGTAGTGAGTCTGAAGCCTAGTATTCAGTTTAAGGCCTAGTGGTAATAGTTAGATTTGCCTATAGAACCTTCTACCAGCACAAACACTTATGACAATTGTCAGTAGCCCAAAAAATGATTAGCAGGAATGACAAATATGGTCAAGAAGCCAAGACTCAATTAAACACGGTCTCAGAAATAAGCGTGCGTAAGGAATAGGTGCCTAAAAAGGGAATCAAACCTGATGCTCAGCAGGACCTCGGGAGGGCAGGATGGTGAAAACCTTAACACTTAATCTCATTTTAAGGGGAATCCACAGCCCCACTGATTCCGGAGTATACATGATGCGGATTAGGCTATTAGTCTTATCTTGTTTCCAGTTCTGTGGTTTTGTTTATATTAAACATCGTATAAATAAAAAACTCAGTCTCTATGTATGTCTCACCAGTCATCATCTTAATTAATCTCTAAATAGCCACCAAAGAACAAACCCGTTATTAGTGACTAGTGCATCTTGCACCCAAAATTAATCATAAGGCTATACCTGCCTACTTCAAATCAGCCCTACTCTCATTCACACTCATTTGCACACAGCAAGAAAGCACTGCCCTCCATCCACTTCTGGAATTGGATTTACCTTTTCCTTCTGTCCTTACCTGACCAGGTCTCCATGGAGCTGCAAATAGAGGTTCTCCCTACCCTCTCCATCACAGATCTCAGATGCCAGGGTATCCACTGTACAAAGGACCAAGTGCAGGTCAGAAGAGGTCGCAGTTGCAGAGTCTGCTCCATAAATGTATACACAGCCTCGCCCAACATCCTCTTTCAGCCAGTCTCTCTCACGGGAACCAAACCGACTCCTTCTGTTCAAGCAGTTTCTGCTCCCATTGCGCTTCATGTTCCTCTAAATGACATCAAAAGTAGATGGTTAGCTGCTGGCACTAAGCCTGAAATCCAATAGATTGCCCACTGCTTTCCGACACCTCCAATGACCAGCCAAGTGTAATTTCCACCTCTCACCCACCTCTCCTTCTGCTTCCCCAAATTCCCCTCATCCCTTCTGGGTTGCAGTCATCCAAACAGCTGCTTACTCCTGGGGGAATTCTGCGCCGCTACACGTGCGCAGAATTCATGTCCCCTGCGGATTCCTTTGCTTCCCTGCAGAAAAATGACTTTCTGACAGGGAAGCAAAGGGAAGCTGCAAGAGCAATCACACACCACTCCCTAGCTGCGCAGGTTCATTGTTTCAAGCACCTGGAGCAACCAGCAGAGAGGTAAATCACAGCAGGGCTGGGAACATCCCATCCAGTGGCTCCTACACTGAGCCGAGATCAGCTGTTAGCCCCGGCTGGGCTGGAGGCAGGAGAAGACGGGATTTCCTCTTCCCCTGCAAAGGAGTGGCTGGGGCTGTGTCAGACCCACCCCCAGAATCCTCACCCAGCTGCAGGAAGCTCAGCATCCTCCCATGCTTCCTGCCCCCATCGCTCCTCGGCTGTGGGGGGGGGGAGAAGAGGGGTCACTGTATGGGGGAACAACTGCTCCCCCATCCACCCAATCCCCATGCATCTGGACCTCCCATATCTAGACACCCCGCCAAGCCTCACCTCATATACCCAGAACCCCACTAGCCCTCCATACCTGAACCCCACCCCACTGAACCTCAACCCCTGCATCTGGAGCCCCCCTGCACCCAGACTCCCTGCCTCCAGACCCCCACCTCTGCACCCAGACCACCCCCCACTGAGCTCCCTGCACTCAAACCCCTACCCTGACAAGCCCAACCCCCCTGCACCACCCTGAGCCCCCACATCTAGACCCCCATGCCACTGACCCGCAACTAGCTGCACCCAGACCCCCACCGCACGAAGCCCCACTCCCCCCAGCACCCCAGACCCTTCCACTGAGCCCCAACTACTTTTACCTGGAAGCCCCTGCAGAGTCCCATTGCCCCTGCACCTGGAACCCCACACAATGAGCCCCTGTGCATCCAGATCCCCCCACACCTAGACCCTCCACCGAGCAGCCTACACCCAGAGTGTCCCAAACAGAATCCTCTCACCCCACACTGAGCCCCTCCACACTTGGATCCTGCCTGTCCCACAGGTGCGCCTAGCATAGAGGGGCAGGGCCCCAGGGTGTTTCTGGGGTATATTCAGTCCTTGTGCTGTGTCAGGGTCGGGTGCAGCCTCATCACTGAGTCCTTGTCCCGGGCGTGGGGGATGGGGAGGCTGCAGGGTGATCTCCCACCTTCGTATAGCCAGTGGCCTGTGCTCCCTACTGCCATACTGAAGCCTCTGCATTTATTTATTGACAAATGAAGCTTGCAGAATTTTAAAATATTGTGTGCAGAACTTTTAATTTTTTTGCACAGAATACCCTCAGGCATAATAGTTGTGGACAAGACATGTGAGGAGACTGCATAAACTAAGGTAAGACTGGGAGTGGCCCCTGGATTGTGCTTGGAAAGCATCTGCAACACCCTGTATCTCTATGATCTGGAAACATCCTTCACCTCTTTGGATCTCACCCATTACTAAAGAGGCATACAATTAGCAGGAAAATTAAACCACGGATGGGACCAAATCCTCTACCCCAGCTGACTGGTTTGAGACACTGATGATTCAACAACAAGGATTTACTAGAATATGGAATCGTCTCCTTAATGACATAAATAGTCATGCTCCTTCCCTCTTGCCTAGGGCTCTACCCAGAGCTGACCGGGGGGGGGGGGGGGGGTGAGGGAGATAATTGTATCAAGGCCCCAAGTCCAGGGCTCCCCCGAAAATGTCTAATGTCTGTGTAAAGAAAGTGAAATTGCAGTGGGTGGGGCTCCAGTGAACATTATGTACTAAGGCTCCAAATTTCTCTTGAGGGGCCTGACTCTACCACTACTACTAACAAGAAAGTGCGCTAAAAGCAGCATGGCTCGATTCAAATCTCACTATGCTAGCTGTTCGTTCCACAGCAGGTGTTCAAGCTCATAATCTGTGAAGAGTGAAGGCCACTGCTCCAAATGGACATGCCCTAAACCGATCACAATAAAGTGTTAGGCAAATCAATATTGCATTGTAAAACAAATATTTTTTCTCGCTCTGCCTCAGCGTCCCAAGTGCCAGATGCATATTCCACATAGCAAAGTAATTTTTACAATAGTTTGTCACTTTAACAGTCAATGTTGTCAACTAGATTTTCCTCTATTAGTGTGAGCGAGAGGTTCATCATAGTATCTAAGAAATCCTTCTGGAGTTTGCTTTGCTTACAGATGGTGGTGCTAGACTCCCGTGAGCACCTACCATCTCACTAGCAATGCAGCATTTCATCCTCTAGAACAGGGGTGACCAAACCGCAGCTCGTGAGACGCATGTGGCTCTTTTACAGTTAAAGTGTGGCTTGCGGAACTCTCCATGCCCACCCCTCCCCCATTCTCTGCCTACCAGACTGGGTGGGGGGGAGGAGGATGCTCAGGGCTTCTGCCCTGGGTTTGGGTGGTGGGGCTAGGGGCTTCTTCTCCCCAGCAGGGAGGGGGGTCTTGGGGCTTCAACCCCATAGGACATGTCTGCCAGGACTCAGGGCTTCAGAAGGAGCAGTGCTGAAGCCCCAAGACTCCCCCTCCCCACAGGGCAGAAGCTCCAAGCCCCGGCAGGTGCCTCACAGAGAGCTGAAGCCCCATGACACCCGCTCCCCACAGGGCAGAAGCCCCTAGCCCCACCATCCTGCCACGTGGCTGAAGCCCCAAGCCCCGGAAGGCACACCCCAGCTTTTGAACTTCTGAAGATTGTTGTACAAGTTTACCACGCCTGCTCTAGAAGCTGCTGGGCATCCACACTAAGAGGAAACAATTAGGATCCTTCTCAGGACACAGCAACCATCGCACAGCAGCAGAATCTACACACAGGGTAATGCTTTAAAATTACAGGAACATCAATTAAACCAATATCCTCTGAGTTATATTTCTATTGAAGTAGCAACTAGAGACCTTGATCAGGATTAGGGCCCCCAATGTGCTAGGCACTGTACAGACATTTAGGCCCCAATTCTTTTTTGTGCAGATGTACACTGGGAAAGGGAGGGAGGCAGGGGGATGCAAAGGTGGTTTTAAGACAACTTTGCACCTCTGGGATTCTGGGCCCAGTCCCCAGCTGTTCTAACCAATGGTAGCTTTGAACAGCTGCCAGGGAGCCAATCTGCCACCTCAGAACAGCTGGGAAACTGATGTTCTGGCCCCATATTTCTGCACCCCTCTCACACCTATGACAGACAAGGGGTGAGAGGTGGGGAGCAAAATAGGGCTACCTATAACATTCCTCCAAGTTAGTTCCCAGTTGGAGAAATGGACCTGGGTTCTGTCCAGAATCAGGGCCAGAGTATGAAACAATCCTTGCCCCGAAGATATCAAGGCTGGGGGATCAGCAGAGATCAGGCAAAATACATAACCAAGTCAGTCCTTCACAGCACCCTTGCATAATCCAGAAATCCATCATAAGTCCTTTCCACCACAAAGTCTAACCCAGTCCCAACATTCAATTCTCCTTTCTTAATGCAAGGAAGAGGGGTCACTTTGAATCTTGAAGATACTCACTAATTTCACAGTTCAATTTGAGAAATTACATTAGCCTCCTTCATTTCAACTTGTTATAATATGATACTTCATTTCCTGCCCTAAATTCTTACATAGCACTGCTATACTCTGTTAGACAGCTGCTGTGTTTTCATCAGAAGTGGCTGCTTTTCAGTGCTCACAAAGTGATCCTCACATACAATCTGAAAAGCACTGAGATATCCTTCAAGATGAGAAGTCTAGGTTATCACCCTTCTTTATTAAATAGACTTTCTACACACTCTTTATGCTTACAACCTTCCCCCACATCACTGACTTGCAAGTTACTTACTGCACCAAGTCTGCCTTCTAAACATACCACTATTTTAGATGGAAAGTGGTGTTACATGGACTGTAATCAAGATGTAGCAGCTATAGAAATGCTGTGTCCTGAAACTTCTTGGTGTATGAATGCAACAGCTTGTTAAAAGCTGACATTTCAGTGAGCACCATTATAATTAAGGTTACAGTGGGACTTTCATTACAACCCTCCCGTTTTCACAAGCTCAAATATTCTCTTTTGGAGCTGCAAACTTTGCTCTCTGGGTTGCAACCAAGCCAGGAATTAATTTGTATTTATTTTCAAGAAGTCTAAACACAATCCTTCCCGCAGTTTTCAGTGGTGCACAGTGTGACCAAGTTAATATTACTAATAAAACCCAAACTTCTGCATTCCCTGACTAACAACAGAACCTTTTTTGAATTCTAGGCAGTGCTACCACCTCTGAATATTATTAAGGTTGCCTCACATTTCCCATTATAAATCCTTGTTTTTAATTGCCTATAGCTTTGCCAAATTTTAACCATTTGGGCTCCAATTTCCCATGCCAGGTGTCTGTTTCCAGCTGAACTTCTTTTTAGAAAATTTCAGCCAAAACAGTTTCTGAGAACGAGGCTAGGGAAAAATGTCTGACACAGTATAGCAGTTCTTATGTTTTGCCCATGTTAAAAAATTCTTTGAAAAGTTCTGGTGCCCCCATGCTTTGGAGCAGGGACATGAAAAGGGGAGGGGGGCTGGCTAGCCTTTGTGTCAGGAATATGCCTTTTAACATTCCCATTAAAATTTTCACAAATCAGGCCAAGCTATAAGCTTTGGGGAGGGGAGGGAAGAATCACAGTTCATACACACAGTGGAGGCTTCTTTGATTTTAGTAGCTAAAAATATCTGAAGATTCTGTCCTTACTGACCATGCTTGAGACTGCACGTGCTCCAGCAGCACGGAGCAACTGAGCATGCTTCAGCTCCTCCATGTGACTGAACTACACACGCACCATCCCCACAGAGCATGCTCCACCCCAGGGATACA